GGACAAGGACATGACAACGCATACCTGTGTAAATGCAATTTAACATTAGTTTAGAATATCATTAGTGACTTAGGTGTTTTTTTGTTTTTTTTTTTTTAAAATATAGAGTGGCAGAAAGCCTTTTTTTTTTTCTTAAAGAACACGAGTACATAAACAAAATGATGTGATTTCACAGCAGCGATGCTTTGTCAGGGCTGTTCATTCCAGCCAAATCTTGCTCGAGCATCAGTGGGGGGAGTTTGGGAGCTGGGCACCTGGAAAAGGCATTGGCGCGGAGACCAGCTGAGATAAGTGAGAAATTGTAAGGTGTTGTTTTTGGCAGGGCTATCCTGTGCTCTGCAGGGCTTTGCAGAGCCTGTATTTCCATTTTATTTTGGGGGGCCTATCACTGGGCGAATACCTTAAACCCAGAGATACCGTTTCACGTGCAGCCTGTTGTCAGGGCTACAAAGAGTTGCAGATGTGCGCGTGTGAGAAATTCTCAATAAACAACCTGAGATTTTAGGCAGAGGGTTTTAGGAGTGTCACATCCATTTTTTTTTTTTTAAAATATAGAGTGGCAGAAAGCCTTTTTTTTTTTCTTAAAGAACACGAGTACATAAACAAAATGATGTGATTTCACAGCAGCGATGCTTTGTCAGGGCTGTTCATTCCAGCCAAATCTTGCTCGAGCATCAGTGGGGGGAGTTTGGGAGCTGGGCACCTGGAAAAGGCATTGGCGCGGAGACCAGCTGAGATAAGTGAGAAATTGTAAGGTGTTGTTTTTGGCAGGGCTATCCTGTGCTCTGCAGGGCTTTGCAGAGCCTGTATTTCCATTTTATTTTGGGGGGCCTATCACTGGGCGAATACCTTAAACCCAGAGATACCGTTTCACGTGCAGCCTGTTGTCAGGGCTACAAAGAGTTGCAGATGTGCGCGTGTGAGAAATTCTCAATAAACAACCTGAGATTTTAGGCAGAGGGTTTTAGGAGTGTCACATCCCGTTATTGTCACCTTCTGCCAGTGCGGTTGTGCAGTTATCACCCCGTCAGCTATTGCTGGCTGGCGCAGGGCTGATTTATGGTCAGCTGCCAGTCAGCTTCATGCGTGCTTGCACGGGAAGGTGGGACTGCATTTTTGTATGGCGTCTACCTCTGCACCACTGGCAGCAGCATCAAATGCAGATTTGGTACCCGGTTGCGTCCCCTTGTGTGTCACAGCAGTGTCCTGAGGGCCCTGGTGAGGAGAGGTGCTGGCCGGCATCATGACCCCCTGCCCAGACCGCACCAGCCACCCCTCCATGCGTGCAGCCGCTGTCGGGCTCAGCAATACAGGGTACCCAACCTGGTGTGATCTTCTGCCTCCTGCCAGAGGGCTCCTTCCCCCTTCCCTCGCCATACCGAATCCTGTGTTTAGCTCTGTGCTTTCTCAGCCTTTCAGTGTAGCAGTGGTAACATCTGGTGAAGCACCAAAAGGGGAATAGCACTTGTAGGAGATCATCAAGAAAAAGATGAAACTCTGGGTCTACTGAGTAGGAGCCTGCAGTTAATTGCCTTATTTCAAATGGGTTTTTTTTGAGTAGGTGATAATCAGTGGGCCTTTGCCATTTAATTAAAGGGCTTTGTAAAGCAAATGATGTGGGGAATATGCAGCCTGGGGGAGCAGTGGGAAGGTGATGCTTGTTGGTGTCCATGTGGTTTTAATCGAGGCTGACAGCCCGCCTCGGTGGGAGTACATGGGGGAGGAAAGTCCACTCCCACGAAGCAACCTGGGCCCTTTCTCCAGCTGGTTTGGGGAGGGGGAAGGCAGGATGTGGAAGGTGAAAAGTGGCTAAGACACTACATCAGCACTTAACTGGGAAAGATTCGGCCTGTACTGGAGAAGATAACCGCGGTTGTGCTGCTCCTACCAATACAGTGGGAAGGGAGGTTGTGTCATCTTCAAATATTAATGTGTGACCTCCAGATGACGCTTCAGAAACACACACTGATGCTCTTTATGTTTCTTTAAAATCCATGGGAGCTTTACCACTGCTTTCTATATGAAAAAGATGATATTCCAACATTGCTGATTTAAGAACTTTTCAGCAGTAACCCTACAAAATTAAAAAAAAAAAATTAAAGTTGTGACTATTGCAAGAATTAAACTTGGTTTTGAGGAGGCTTCTTTGGTGATGTTTATTTTTCTGCATTTGATAAACTTAACGTTGATTCATTCTGAGCTCACTTTCCGTAGTGCCTGTTAGCATTTCTGCAGTATCTCTCCAAAGACATTCGGCCCCTTGGGTTAAGAGTCTTCCTCGGTATAATTTTAATACTTTAAACTTCCAACATCCCTGCTAACCTTTGATCTGGTAAATGATCTAGGTCCAGGGGTGAAACTGAGAAAAGGAGAGCCGATGTAGAGGAAGACAGACCTTTGTAAGAGGAAAGCTTTATCTCCCAGGGCAGTACCGCATTATCTAGCTTCTGTCTTCAGTCCATGTTTGGGACCTGGGTGAGTGTAGCAGCACTAGTAGTTAGTGCGTACCAGACAAGGAGGATCATTTGACACTAAGCTTTTACATTAAGATTGCAGGAATCGTGCCTGGACTCTCAGCATGAATGTGATCAGATCCATATGAGGACAGGGATATCAAATTCCCCAGCTCCCCGCAAAAATGTTGTGATTAATCACGCTGAGAGTTGCAATTAAACCAAATACAAGCAGCATGGTAAAGAAGCTAAGAAGGAGGCGATGTGAATGTTATTAACGAGCAGGAGTTTTTGGCTTTGTAGTGTTTTTCAGCCGAGCTTGCTTGAAATGTGTCAAACAAACAGAACCGAGATAAATGTAAAATCAGCTGGCTGCACATTACCCACGAGGATTTGAAATGAGTGTTGGGGAGAGGAAGAAAGATCACGATTACCCAGAGGAATAGGACTACATCTATGGAGTGAAATGGTTATTAATGTTAATTGTGGCCATCATTGCACAGATGCAGAAGGTGATGCCATGTGAGGTCTTGCATGCACACTGTACCGCAGGATGGTTGATGGACATGGGCATTTATATCCTCCTTAAAGGAGATGGGTCTGTCAGACCCCTGCCAAATGTGTGTCTCTGGTAGAGGGGACATGTGCAGGGATGTGGAAGATGAGGAGGTAGGGAACCCTCAGCCACTAGTGCAGCACCGTAT